CAGTATTTAGATAAGGCTAAAGAGGTCTTTGTGGCATTATGGATTTGGAAAAGGCGTATGACAGGGTGGATAGGGGGGCAATGTGGCAGATGTTTGCAAGTGTATGGTGTAGGAGGTTTGGTTACTGAAAGCAGTGAAGAGTTTTTACGAGGATAGTGAGGCTCAAGTTAGAGTATGTAGGAAAGAGGGAAATTTTTTCCCAGTAAAAGTAGGCCTTAGACAAGGATGTGTGATGTCACCGTGGTTGTTTAATATATTTATAGATGGGGTTGTAAGAGAAGTAAATGCGAGGGTCTTGGCAAGAGGCGTGGAGTTAAAAGATAAAGAATCACACACAAAGTGGGAGTTGTCACAGCTGCTCTTTGCCGATGACACTGTGCTCTTGGGAGATTCTGAAGAGAAGTTGCAGAGATTGGTGGATGAATTTGGTTAGGGTGTGCAAAAGAAGAAAATTAAAGGTGAATACAGGAAAGAGTAAGGTTATGAGGATAACAAAAAGATTTGGTGATGAAAGATTGAATATCAGATTGGAGGGAGAGAGTATGGAGGAGGTGAAAGTTTCAGATATTTGGGAGAGTGGACGTGTCAGCGGATGGGTCTATGAAAGATGAGGTGAATCATAGAATTGATGAGGGAAAAAGAGTGAGTGGTGCACTTAGGAGTCTGTGGAGACAAAGAACTTTGTCCTTGGAGGCAAAGAGGGGAATGTATGAGAGTATAGTTTTACCAACGCTCTTATATGGGTGTGAAGCGTGGGTGATGAATGTTGCAGCGAGGAGAAGGCTGGAGGCAGTGGAGATGTCATGTCTGAGGGCAATGTGTGGTGTGAATATAATGCAGAGAATTCGTAGTTTGGAAGTTAGGAGGAGGTGCGGGATTACCAAAACTGTTGTCCAGAGGGCTGAGGAAGGGTTGTTGAGGTGGTTCGGACATGTAGAGAGAATGGGCGAAACAGAATGACTTCAAGAGTGAAATCAGTCTGTAGTGGAAGGAAGGCGGGGTAGGGGTCGGCCTGGGAAAGGGGTTTGGGAGGGAGGGGGTAAAGGAGGTTTTGTGTGCGAGGGGCTTGGACTTCCAGCGGGCCCATGCGTGAGGTGTTTGATAGGAGTGAATGGAGACAAAGGTTTTTTAATACTTGACGTGCTGTTGGAGTGTGAGCAAAGTAACATTTTTTTGAAGGGATTCAGGAAACGGCAGGCCGACTTGAGTCTGGAGATGGGAAGACAGTGCCTGCATCCTGAAGGAGGGGTTGTTAATGTTGCAGTTTAAAACTGTAGTGTAAAGCACCCTTTGGCAAGACAGTGAGGGATTTAATGATGGTGAAAGTTTTTCTTTTTCGGGCACCCTGCCTTGGTGGGAATCGGCCGGTGTGATAATAAAAAAAAAAAAATTTAATAATAATAATAAAATTTAATAAAAAATAAAATGTGAGACGTACTTTTTATGAGAGATCATCTAATATTCAGTGGTGTTAAAAAAGGGTTTTATTTCTTTCACGAACGTGTTACTGGGTGACTTTGACCTTCCACTGTGTAAGGTCGCCACTAAGTAAATGGTTCCCTCCCACAGGTGCCGCTAGTGGTGGGTGGGGGCTACTGGTGTGTTTGTGGTGCTGGGGTGGGGGTGGGGGGGGGGTGGGGGAGGGGCAGAGGGAGATAGCGTTAGGGTATTGGGGGGGAGTGGAGGGGGTGTAATAGCAGGATTTTTTTGTCATATATTTTGCATATAATATGAAATGTGCAGCACTGTGTCCCTTATGGGTTTAACGCTTAGTTACAACAACAACAATAAAAATAATAAAATAATAATAATTTAATAATAATAAATAATAATAATAATAATAATAATAATAAATAAAAAAAATGGTAATAGTAATAGTAAATAAATAATAATAATAATAATAATAATAATAATAATAATAATAATAATAATAATAATAATAATCGTAAATATACTGAGACATACACTGTAGCTGTAAGTACACTGCTGCTCTTAAGACATAATCTTCAAGATATGTATACAATAAGTAAGCTATTTATCTAAAGAAAAATATTTTAGTTATACTTAAGACAATAATTTATATAGGGCCTGATTCTCAGAATGTGTATATGTCTGTCGTTGCTTCTCTGACCACTTTCCATCCAGATTCAACAAGTTATTGTGTGGCTGTATCGTAATTAGTGTAGACGATAACTGTTGCAAGTTTGGTCAACGAATCTACGATCACTGGGCTATGCTGCAGTCTAACTTGATCAACTTGTATGAAGGAACACGAAAGCAGCAGTCTGAGAATGATTTTAAGGAGGAGGAGGAAGAGGGAGTGGCAGCAGCATCCACAGAAGAAGAAGAAGAAGACATCACTGGCAACAAGACCGTCGTAGTTCCCCGAGGTCCTCTGTGAGGAGCGTCGTCAGTGTGAGTTGCTGCAGCTGGAGTCTGGAACCCAACTCTCGCTTTTGTCCCAGTGACAAATGAGCTCTGATTCTGTTAGAACAAAGTGCTGCTGATAGTGTCTTTCCCATATATGAATTTGTTTACTTTCCCGAGGTCGCTGATGGCACTGTTTTGACTTCACTAATAGGGAGGCTTCAGTTATTGTGTTCCACTAGTAGGGAGGCTTCAATTACTGTGTTCCACTAATAGGGAAGCTTCAGTTATTTTGTTTCACTAATAGGGAGGTTCCAGTTATTGTGTTCCACTAATAGGCTTCAGCTATTGTGTTCCACTAATAGGGAGGCTTCAGTTATTGTGTTCCACTAATAGGGAGGCTTCAGATATTATGTTCCACTAATAGAGAGACTTCAGTTATTGTGTTCCACTAATAGACTTCAGTTATTGTGTTCCACTAATAGACTTCAGTCATTGTGTTCCACTAATAGACTTCAGTCATTGTGTTCCACTAATAGGGAAGCTTCAGTTATTGTGTTCCACTAATAGGGAAGCTTAAGTTATTGTGTTCCACTAATAGGGAAGCTTCAGTTATTGTGTTCCACTAATAGGGAAGCTTCAGTTATTGTGCTCCACTAATAGGGAGGCTTCAGTTATCGTGTTCCACTAATATGGAGGCTTCAGTTATTGTGTTCAACTAATAGACTTCAGTTATTGTGTTCCACTAATAGGGAAGCTTCAATTGTGTTCCACTAATAGACTTCAGTTATTGTGTTCCACTAATAGGGAGGCTTCAATTATTGTGTTCCACTAATAGGGAGGCTTCAGTTATTGTGTTCCACTAATAGGGAGGCTTCAGCTATTGTATTCCACTAATAGGGAGGCTTCAGTTATTGTGTTCCACTAATAGACTTCAGTTATTGTATTCCACTAATAGGGAGGCTTCAGTTATTGTGTTCCACTAATAGACTTCAGTTATTGTATTCCACTAATAGGGAGGCTTCAGTTATTATGTTCCACTAATAGGGAAGCTTCAGCTATTGTATTCCACTAATAGGGAGGCTTCAGTTATTGTGTTCCACTAATAGGGAAGCTTCAGCTATTGTGTTCCACTAGTAGGGAGGCTTCAGTTATTATGTTCCACTAATAGAGAGGCTTCAGTTATTGTGTTCCACTAACAAAAAGACTTCAGTTATTGCGTTCCACTAACAAAAAGACTTCAGTTATTGTGTTCCACTAATAGGGAGGCTTCAGTTATTGCGTTCCACTAACAAAGAGACTTCAGTTATTGTGTTCCACTAACAAAGAGACTTCAGTTATTGTGTTCCACTAACAAAGAGACTTCAGTTATTGTGTTCATTGTAAGTTCTAAGGCAGACTGGAACCTTATCATAATTACAGATCCTCAAATTTCCAGTTTTCAGTAGCATTATACGCTAGTTTAAAAACGTGGGATGTTCTTGAGATCACCAGCGGGAGATCTCTGTTTTCTCGAAGCCCTGAAAACAAAATAAACTTGATGGCTAATGCAGGTTTTTACTGTCAGTTATCGAGTCACAGTATTATGAGTCCCAGTCATGTGAAGTGGAATAAAAATAAATTCAGGTCTTCGTGTCTTGTGCTTCCTGAAAAAATCCCTTAAATAACGTTCAACATGATTTCCCGTAACGTTTAACCTGGCTTAAGCATCAATTTCTCTTTGGCGGATATGATAGAAAGAAGAATACGATACTGTGAATGTCTTAGGAAAATTACCTAAAATTTCGTGGGAAAAAATACGTAAATGAAAACACAAGATGGAGTAATCATGTAGCAAAATTCAAGCGATGGATAGACAGGTTTTCCACGTCACTCCTCGACGGGGCAGTCACTGCAGCCGCAACAGATTCACTGAGGCGTGTACTGGCACCATAGCTTAATTAAATTACACCATAACTGCAAGCCAGCACCACCGGTAAAGCTTCGTGGACAGATAAAGCTCTTGCACCTTCATGGGATCAATGCACTGCACGTACACGTACACGCACACACGCACACACACACACACACACACACACACACACACACACACACACACACACACACACACACACACACACACACACACACACACACACACACACACACACATTCCCTGTGTGTGTGTACTCACAATTAAGTAAGTAAGTAAGTAAGTTTATTCAGGTATACACAAATACAGTTACATAGAATTATCATACATAGCAGCATATGTGTAGAGAACCTGGGATAACCCAAAAAAGTCAGACACAGTGACTTATTTCCATTGGGGTCCTTTTACCTTATTATTATAATATAAAGGTTATAATATTTTCTTATTATTCTATAATGAAGATAACATCTTATTATCATACTAAAAATACTATCTACAATACGAGGGTCATTACTAGGAATAAGGTAAAAATTACACGTATGTTAGCTAAAAAATAGAACATACGTGTAATTTTTACCTTATTCCTAGGTGAGTACACACTCACACACAGGGAATGTGTCACCACCACATTCTGTACTGACGTAGGAACAACAGTGACGACAGAACTAAGAGCCACAATACAAATGAAAATGAAAATGGAATTTCGGGATAAAAACCAAAGGTGACACTTACAGTAATGTTTGTAAGGCGAGACTGGTAAGTTGCACAACCTTGCGTGGGCAACACTGCAGGTATATAAGAGCGGGTACCCAAGGGCACACAGCCTCAGCCATGAACTTGACCCCAGCCACCAACATGCATCTCTCAGTAAGTAGTGTTGCTGTTCTGTTTTTAATATACTACTAATAATATCGATTTATATCTGGTCATCATGGCCTTATATTGCAATTGTTACCAAACAGTGTTGTTGCCGTATATGGATTTTGTGACCAGTAGCGCTGTTACTGCAGCTTCATGTTTTTTGTAGGCTAGTGGTGGTAGTATTGTTGTGTTATTACTGGACTGGTTCAGTTATTTGATGTATGGTGACAGTATATCGAGGTTATTACTATCATATACCATGTTATGGTGCACTATGTTTCTTGGGAGAGTGGCAAGAATGAGAGAGAAAAAGAGAGGTGTATATATATATATATATATATATATATTATATATATTTTTTTTTTTATTATCACACCGGCCGATTCCCACCAAGGCAGGGTGGCCCGAAAAAGAAAAACTTTCACCATCATTCACTCCATCACTGTCTTGCCAGAAGGGTGCTTTACACTACAGTTTTTAAACTGCAACCCTTTTAAAACCCCTCCTTCAGAGTGCAGGGACTGTACTTCCCATCTCCAGGGCTCAAGTCCGGCCCGCGGTTTCCCTGAATCCCTTCATAAATGTTACTTTGCTCACACTCCAACAAACACGTCAAGTATTAAAAACCATTTGTCTCCATTCACTCCTATCAAACACGCTCACGCATGCTGCTTTGGGAAATCCAAGCCCTCGCACACAAAACCTCCTTTACCCCCTCCCTCCAACCCTTCCTAGGCCGACCCCTACCCCGCCTTCCTTCCACTACAGACTGATACACTCTGGAAGTCATTCTGTTTCGCCCATTCTCTCTCATGTCCGAACACCTCAAAAAACCCTTCCTCAGCCCTCTGGACAACAGTTTTGGGAATCCCGCACCCCCTCCTAAAATTCCAAACTACGAATTCTCTGCATTATATTCACAAACCCCACATTGCCCTCAGACATGACATCTCCACTGCCTCCCGCCTTCTCCTCCTGCAACATTCATCACCCACGCTTCACACCCATATTAAGAGCGTTGGTAAAAAATTACTCTCATACATTCCCCTCTTTGCCTCCAAGGACAAAGTTCTTTGTCTCCACAGACTCCTAAGTGCACCCCCTCACTCTTTTTCCCTCATCAATTCTATGATTACCTCATCTTTCATAGACCCATCCGCTGACACGTCCACTCCCAAATATCTGAATACGTTCACCTCCTCCATACTCTCTCCCTCCAATCTGATATTCAATCTTTCATCACCTAATCTTTTTGTTATCCTCATAACCTTACTCTTTCCTGTATTCACCTTAATTTTTTTCTTTTGCACCCCCTACCAAATTCATCCACCAATCTCTGCAACTTCTCTTCAGAATCTCCCAAGAGCACAGTGTCATCGGCAAAGAGCAGCTGTGACAACTCCCACTTTGTGTGTGATTCTTTATCTTTTAACTCCACGCCTCTTGCCAAGACCCTCGCATTTACTTCTCTTACAACCCCATCTATAAATATATTAAACAACCACGGTGACATCACACATCCTTGTCTAAGGCCTACTTTTACTGGGAAAAAATTTCCTCTTTCCTACATACTCTAACTTGAGCCTCACTATCCTCGTAAAAACTCTTCACTGCTTTCAGTAACCTACCTCCTACACCATACACTTGCAACATCTGCCACATTGCCCCCCTATCCACCCTGTCATACGCCTTTTCCAAATCCATAAATGCCACAAAGACCTCTTTAGCCTTATCTAAATACTGTTCACTTATATGTTTCACTGTAAACACCTGGTCCACACACCCCCTACCTTTCTAAAGCCTCCTTGTTCATCTGCTATCCTATTCTCCGTCTTACTCTTAATTCTTTCAATTATAACTCTACCATACACTTTACCAGGTACACTCAACAGACTTATCCCCCTATAATTTTTGCACTCTCTTTTATCCCTTTGCCTTTATACAAAGGAACTATGCATGCTCTCTGCCAATCCCTAGGTACCTTACCCTCTTCCATACATTTATTAAATAATTGCACCAACCACTCCAAAACTATATCCCCACCTGCTTTTAACATTTCTATCTTTATCCATCAATCCGGCTGCCTTACCCCCTTTCATTTTACCTACTGCCTCACGAACTTCCCCCACACTCACAACTGGCTCTTCCTCACTCCTACAAGATGTTATTCCTCCTTGCCCTATACACGAAATCACAGCTTCCCTATCTTCATCAACATTTAACAATTCCTCAAATATTCCTTCCATCTTCCCAATACCTCTACCTCTCCATTTAATAACTCTCCTCTCCTATTTTTAACTGACAAATCCATTTGTTCTCTAGGCTTTCTTAACTTGTTAATCTCACTCCAAAACTTTTTCTTATTTTCAACAAAATTTGTTGATAACATCTCACCCACTCTCTCATTTGCTCTCTTTTTACATTGCTTCACCACTCTCTTAACTTCTCTCTTTTTCTCCATATACTCTTCCCTCCTTGCATCACTTCTACTTTGTAAAAACTTCTCATATGCTAACTTTTTCTCCCTTACTACTCTCTTTACATCATCATTCCACCAATCGCTCCTCTTCCCTCCTGCACCCACTTTCCTGTAACCACAAACTTCTGCTGAACACTCTAACACTACATTTTTAAACCTACCCCATACCTCTTCGACCCCATTGCCTATGCTCTCATTAGCCCATCTAGTTCTGGTTGCGAGGGTCGAGTCACAGCTCTTGGCCCCGCCTGTTCACCTGTGTGTGTGTGTGAAGACCATCTTACGTGAAGCAAACATTGTCAAACAACGTTAAAACTCCTTACATTGATGTGTTAATTAAGGCAAGAAGGTGAGAGGTTTTCTCTCTTGATCTCTGCACGTTCGTTCGTCCATGGATCAAATTTGATTACCCCCTCCCCCGACTCCTCCCCCCCCTCCCCGACTCCTCCCCCCCTCCCCATGTATCCCAGGCACTGTTTGACCCCTACCGGTTTAGAACTACCCCTTAAGCATAACACTCATACTATTACTGCATGTATGCGTGTCACACTCGGGCAGACAGCCTCCCAGCTGACATTCGCAGGTTCACTGTGATCACAAAGAACCTCAATGGAAATAAGTCACTGACTTTTTTTTTGGATTATCCTAGGTTCTCTACACATATGCTGCTATGTATGATAATTTATGTAACTGTATTTGTGTATACCTGAATAAACTTACACAAACACGTTAGGTTCCCGAGGGTCAGTGACTGGTGGCGCTGACGGTAGCGGCGTGTGGAGGGGAAGTGGGGGTTGGAGGAGTGGTGGGTGAGGGAGGGAAGATTGGGTGCTGTGTATTAGGAAGCAGCGAGTTTAGCAAGTGGGATGGGGATGAACACTGGAGGGGATTTGGGCAGTTCGGAGGGATAAGGGGATTTAATGACTGGGAAGAGATTTTGGATTTTAGGGGACGCATTGAGTGAGCAGAGGGGTGGGGGAGGTGGATGGGGAGAAGGAGGGACATTTAGTAAGTGTCCCTGCCAGTGTGTTGTTGTCCCCCCACACCCCCACCCACACCCATACCAAATCCGCACACTCACACCTACACCCATATCCACCACAACACCTTCCAACACGCATTACAACACCCTCACACACCCACAACACCCTCCCACACTCACAACAACACCCACCACACTCTCCACACCTATACCCACACCCACAATAACACCCACCACAACACCCTCCCACACCCACAACAACACCCTCCCACACCCACAACAACACCCCCCACAACACTCTCTCACACCTATACCCACAATAACACCCACCACAACACCCTCCCACACCCACAACAACACCCACCACAACACCCTCCCACACCCAAAACTACACCCACCACAACAACCTCCTACACTTACAGCAACACCCATCACAACACCCTCCCACACCCACAATAACACGCACCACAACACTCCCACACCTATACCTACACTCACAACAACACCCTCCCATACCACAACAACACCCACCACAATACTCTCTCACCCCTATACCCACACCCACAACACCATCCACCACAAAACACTCCCATACCCACAACAACACCCACCACAACACCCTCCCACACCCACAGCAACACCTACCACAACACTCTCCCACACCTATACCTACACTCACAACAACACCCACCACAACACCCTTCCACACCCACAATACCCACCACAATACCCACCACAACACCCACACCCACAACACCCACACTCACAACACCACCACAACACCCTCCCACACCCACCACAACACCTACCACAACACCCTCCCACACCCACAGCACCCACCACAACACCCTCCCACACCCACAACAACGCCCACCACAACACTCCCACACCTATACCTACACCCACAACAACACCCACCACAACACCCTCTCACACCCACAACACCCACCAGAACACTCTCCCACACCCACAACAACACCCACCAGAACACCCTCCACACCCACAACAACACCCACCAGAACACCCTCCCACACCAACACCCACAACACCCACCACAATACCCTCCCACACCCACAACACCCTCCCACACCCACAACAACACCCACCACAACACCCTCCCACACCCACAACACCCACCAGAGCACCCTCGTTGGAACGCAGGAGGGAGAGATATATCATAATCTACACTTGGAAAATCTTGGAAGGAATGGTCCCAAATCTGCACACAGAAATCACTCCCTACGAAAGTAAAAGACTGGGCAGGCGATGCAAAATGCCGCCAATAAAAAGTAGGGGCGCCATTGGTACACTAAGAGAAAACACCATAAGTGTCCGGGGCCCAAAACTGTTCAACAGCCTCCCATCAAGCATTAGGGGAATTGCCAATAAACCCCTGGTTGCCTTCAAGAGAGAGCTGGACAGATACCTAAAGTCAGTGCCGGATCAGCCGGGCTGTGGCTCGTACGTCGGACTGCGTGCGGCCAGCAGTAACAGCCTAGTTGATCAGGCCCTGATCCACCGGGAGGCCTGGTCGTGGACCGGGCCGCGGGGGCGTTGATCCCCGGAATAACCTCCAGGTAACCTCCAGGTAACCCTCCCACACCCACAACAACACCCACCAGAACACCCTCCCACACCCACAACAACACCCACCACAGCACCCTCCCACACCCACAACAACACCCACCACAGCACCCTCCCACACCCACCACAACACCCACACCCGCAACAACACCCACCACAACACCCTCCCCCACCCACCACAAGACCCTCCCACACCACAACACCCACCACAACACCCTCCCACACCCACAACAACACCCACCACAACACCCTCCCCCACCCACCACAAGACCCTCCCACACCCACAACACCCACCACAGCACCCTCCCACACCCACAACAACACCCACCACAGCACACTCCCACACCCACCACAACACCCACACCCGCAACAACACCCACCACACCACCCTCCCATACCTACACCCACACTATCACTGTGTACATATGCAGCTCAGCTTTCACTCGCCTCACATTTCTCCCCCAACCTTGATGCAGGTGAAGAACTCTTGATCCTGGGAATTAGAGCTACTCTATCTCCTTGGATCGAGTCTACCTCCCATTGCCCCAGGCGCTGTATGACCCCTACGGGATGAGCGCTCTTCCAATCACAACATCAACATGTCTCAGGATTCTATCAAGGCTCAGTTTACATTAAAAAATAAAATTGTCCTTCTAGCTTTTTTTAAAAAAAGTTTAAGTTTTACCAAGAGCTGAGGAAGTCAGCTGCCTCAGCAGCTTCTGGTTTACTGCTGAGGCAACTTTTTTGGATGTTTAGATTTTTTCCATTGTTTAGCGAATTCACATTTGAGGTTCAGACAACAAGAGTATTTACGGAATCCGGATTTAACATTCTCCGTTTTATGGATGCAGCCACATTACTGTGCCTCAGGTGGAGGGCATGACTGGGCATGGATTGGTGGAGGATGTTGAGAAGGCATTCGTACGAGAGGGCGTGGACAGCAGGTAGAAGTGGTGGTGGTGGTTTTGGTGGTGACTGGTGGTGGTGTTGGTGGTGACTAGTGATGTTGGTGGTGACGACGGTGGTGGTTGTTGCTCTAGTATTACAGTATCATTCAGTAAGTTTATTTAGGTACAGGTAAACAAATGCAGTTGCACAAATTATTATGCATAGTAACACGTGTAAATTACCTACGATAATCCCCCAAAAAGTCAGGCAAAGTGACTTATTTCCATTGTCTTCCAGGCTATGGTTGCGGTACTAGTTGTGGTGGTGCGGCAGCCACTGTGTTGCTAGCATTGATATTGGTGGTGGTTATGGTGCTATCTGTAATACAAACAGCAGTGTTGTCTTTCAGGCTGTAGTTGTGTTACTGGTGGTGGTGGTGGTTGAGGCTGTGCCCAACCCAGCTTTCAACTACGCCTACGTCATCCCAGCTCAATACAACAACCCAGCAGCCAGGCTGGCTGGTGCTCCCTCACAACAACAGTGGTGAGTGTACACATCACTTTCTCCGCCAGCCATTTCACTCCATTCTGCTCTTTAATTACAAGACTGATACACATCAAATTATACATAAAAAAATCTACTATATTATACCTACATTCTGAAAAGTGTTATATCTAACATAATGAGACCTTGAGCTCTACATCCACACTTGGCTGCCATAAAGTCTCAATGAAAACCAGGAAACCATTCCAAACCCACATTCACAACACTCTCACGACCCCCCCCACAAAGGAGGCGAGCCCGTTGTGACCCCCTGACTCCCTCCAACCTATGAAAACTCCTTCACTCACTCATTATCAATCACAGATTTATGAGAATCCCTAACGTTAGCATTCTATACCCCTCTGAGAAAGCCTGATCCCACCTCCTCCCACACAAATCTCTGTTACCACACATCGTACGATAGAACGTTACCGCAAGAACCTTTCTTCTCTCCTCACTATCCCCTCTCCCCCTCATCACCCACGACGTATATATATATAATCTACCATGATATAATCTAAAGCTCTTATGACACCCTCGTCTAACCCACCCGTATCTAGACTTAAAGCACGCAGAACCGACACCCCACGGCCCCCCACCCTCTGTACCAACCTACTTAACCAGCACCTAACCTCCTCTAGCCCTTCACAAAAGTAAACTACATAGAACGCAGTCTCATCCCCTCCACAGATACCACATCCCCCACCCTCTACAACCTGTCTGTTTCGCAGTATCTCACCAGACGGCAGGATCCCATGCAGGAAACGAAACCTCACGCGCCCGAGGGTTTAACTTCATTTTACTAAATCTAAACCAAATACTCTTCCATGCATACATGGGGAACAAACCCTCAACTGGGATAACGCACCTACCTACAAGTAACCTACACAAAACCCTTATACGAACCTTTCTCAGTTCCTTAACCAATATCACAGCCCTCAAAACGATTTCGCATTCCCTCAACTCCATTCCTCGATACCACACACCCAGCCTGTCGTGTATCATTCCCAACTGCCCCGTGTTCACACCCTCACGCAACACTTCCCATTTAATAAACACACATTTAGCCCTCCGTCTCAAATCCATCAACCCCAACCCACCCTGACTTACAGGTAACATTACAACTTCCCTCCGTAACCAATCACAACGTGAACCCCACAAAAATTTGTACACCCGTCTTAGAATTCCCACAATCGCTGTCCCTGTAATTGAGAACACAGCTGCAACATGCCAAATCTTACTATACAATAAAATGTTTACGACTATCACTCGCTGTATAAGAGTTAGGTGCTGGGGTCTCAGAACACCTAGACGCCCCACGATCCTTTCCAATAACCTATCCGAGTTTTCCTCCCGCGCCGCAACCATGTCATCCTTATAAATAATACCACAAATCTTTAAAGACATCGCCCATTCTTTAACAACATTACATCTCCCCCCACCCCCCCCCCCAAGAACCCAACCCCATGCACCTTGACTTCGCACTATTTACCTGCATACCCGTGGCACTTCCAAATAATTGCACAACCTCGTCCAACACTCCCATTGGCATCCCTTCACGAATGAGCACAGTGGTGTCGTCAACGTATCCAATTAAACCCGGCCAGGCCCTCCCACCCCCCACACTTCCCTCACATGGCGTACATAAGCTGTGGTCAACCATTCTATAAAAGGGGTCCTGGAAACACGCAAACAATATTTGGGACATGGGGCATCCTTGTCTAAGGCCTCTACCCATTGCAATATCCCTCCCCATACACCCATTAATCTGTATCCTCATTTTCGCCCCCTTGTATAGCGTATTTACCCACTCGACTATTTCCTCCCCAAAACCCTGTCTCCTAAGTATAACCTGCAAAGCTCCCCTTTCCACTCTATCATATGCTCCCTGCCAATCTAGAGCCAACAAAGCCGCCCCTTCACCCCCACCCTTAGCTTCCACAAAACTTCTCAGTATCCCATGTCCTTCAATCATCGACCTTCCCGGCAACCCAAACTGAGATTTTGACACGACCCTTCCCACAACACATTTGAACCTATTACCTAAAATTTTTGCGAACACCTTATAGCCTGCACACAGCAGTGATATGGCTCGGTACTCCCGAAGGGTGGGCTGCCCCTTGACCTTCGGGACCAACACTACAACTGCTGTTACCTGCTTCTCCCCCAACGTACCCTTCTCCTTCATACGATTAAATAACCTAACTATAAATCCCCTTATTAACGTCCAATGTTGTAAATAAAATTCTACTGGGAGACCGTCAATACCCGGCGCTTTCCCCTTCCTCATTCCCCTTAACGCATTCTCTATTTCCTCTGCCGTAATAGTCCCACCTAAAGCCTTTCTATCACTATTTCCTAAATTACAGGTCACATACGTACACACCTTGTCCAACGCCAAGTCACCCACCCCCCCACTGTTCCAGTACTTCTCGTACCAAGCCTCCGCATACGCACACATCCCCTTTCCTTTGCAACACTATCCCACCATGTCACAATGTCATCCACTCCCTGTTCTTCCACACTAAGCTCCCTCCATAGGACTGAAAACCCCTCCAACCCCTCCTCATCACCTAATACACTTATATTTAATTTCCAATAACTTCTATATATGTCCGCGAGCGTCCCCCACCCAACCTCCACCACCACTGCCCTATGATCTGACATTGTAGCCTCCACAGTACTGAAAGATTTCACATCTACTCCCTGAGAAAGGTACACTCTATCTAGTCTCGCAGCATATCCACTCCTAACAAACGTATATTCTGTCTCCCACACCGCCCCCCCGAAGGCATCACGTAACCTAACATCCCTTAATAAATCCCTAAGAGCCACAGACATATATCCAGCCCCTTTTGGGTCCACATCAGCCACCCTGATTACACTATTCCAATCCCCACCAACAATTGCTACCTCTGGCAGTGCATTTAAGAAAAACACAAGATCCTCACACACAAAATCATTCTTTACCTTGATGTTATTTTCTGCCGGCGCATACACACTCACAAAAGACACACGCTTACCCATCCACCACCCATCCACACGCAACACCCTCCCTCCCCATCCTCCCTCGCTTCTCTGCAAAACAAACGGGCTCGTCTCCCTTATTAAAATTCCCACACCACCTTTTAGACGGGGAGATGGCAGGGTAACTACTCGAAATCCTGCCACCTCCAACACCCTACCCTCTTTAAAATTGTGCTCCTGCAGGAACACAACATCCACTCTAGATTTGTTCAGGAAATTACGAAACCAATCTCTCTTCATACCGCTACATAACCCATTAACATTTACAGACATACACCTAAGGCCTATTAAAGTTTCCACCCCTGCTTCCTCTCATCACTCTTTACAACTCCAGAGCTTGAATTTAAGTTTGACACCTTCAGAGTGCTCTCTTTCCCTCCCCCCTTCTTCCGGTGCCTCCTATCATGGCTACCACCACCTACACCACTACCTTCACACTTCACCTCAGTCTGTTTCCCAGGCCTTTGTGCAGGCATAAGGACGTCATCAGAATCTGACGTAGCCGCCCTCTTTCTCGTGACCGTCATGTTACACATATCTTGATCAGATGTTGCCTCTCGATGAACCTCCACCTCTACCTGAGAATGGTTTAATGATTCAACGGACGACTCCAAACCACCATCACGTCCCAGATTATCATGTCTCCGACTTTCTGGAAGCGACGGCTCTCCGATGACACCACGCTCAGATGTAACGTCCCTCTCTGGTGGTGACAAAGTCTTCAACACCTCCACCAATTCTTCCTCAATCTCGAAAACCTTCTCCTGTAATTGCTGCTCCTCCTTATCCACAGGAGACGATACCTGATCAGGCAGCTGGGGGAGGGACTCCAACTCACCACCAGTCCCGTGTGCCCGATCCACTATCTCGCTCCACAAAACACCACGCCCTCCATCCGATGTTTGTTTTTCACCTGCCACCTTTGAAGCAGGGGCTGCGACATCCACCACAGGTCCAGGCACACGTCTTTGCTTGTCACAGGTCGCTGCTATGTGATCATACTCACCACATAGGCGGCATGTACGTCGTTGTCCTGGGTACATTACCATTACCTGCGTCCTGAAATCTTGTAGATACACATATGACGGTATTGGGTGCCTCAACGTCATTTTGAGGTTGAAAGAACCCTCTGGAAACCAGCATAGGCACCTGCCGCCCACGTACCATGTTGAGCATAATGCACCGTCCCATATGTCTCAAAAACTTTCCTTATATCCGCCTCGTCCGCCTCAAAGGGAACGTTGCGTAACTTGATCCACGTATAATGCCGTGAAACATCTATCAATCTTACACTGACAGCTTGTGTGACGCTAAGACTTACGTCCTGAAACCTGGTGACTAACGATTCATAAACCGTAGCTGATAGCAGTTTGACGAATATTCTTTGGCTTCCGTTTAATGCTACACCATACAAGTCACTATCTTGTACGCCATATGTCTCCCGGATGATCTTTGGCAATAAGACTTGCGCAGAACTAGGCGTTATCGTTCCTTGAAGTAGCTCAATACCTACAGTATTTATCCTGCGTCTCACCGCCATCTTGACACTCACAGTGCACCTATGTTGTTAACAGAGGCGTGACAGCACCACTTCACACCGCTGCAGCCAGGTAACTGACAAGGGAGCTCGCCTACAAACAGCAGAGGGGTGCAGAGCACAACCGCACTCTACCGTGGTCAGGCAGCGAATCCTTTGGATTATTAACTCGGGGAGAGGGTTAATAACCCAGGATAGTAACCAAGGATTACAGTATAGTGGGTGATTGGTAGCGTACTCGGCTCACACACTGAGGTTCGTGGTTCGATCCCCGGTACTGGTGGAAACATCGGGTGTGTTTCCGTAAGACACCTGCTGTCTCTGTTCGCCCAGCAGTAGGTAGGAGTGATGGTAAGTTGGTGCAGGATAACTGGCCACACCACGTTCATACACTTCTACATTTCCATTTTTTTATGCTCAGTTTCTGTACAAGTAGATAATTTAGTCTTTGATCTTTGTCAACTTTCTAACAATCAACCATAACTTTGTTTCCTCGTTGGTAAATATCGACAGTTCTATTATGTTGACATAATCAGTGATACAGCCAGTTAATTAATTCGGTCATCGAAATATTGAAGAGATTTAAATGTGATTACATTGCTACAGAATGAGCTGTTCTGTGACTATTATTCTGTAACTTTTGCCATTTCTTTGACAGTTTTTTTATGATTTTTTTAAACTGAGTCCAAACAGTTGTTATTCCCATTCGCGAGATACTGTGAACGACTGAGGCACATACTCTCCCCACATCTCGACTCCCTCACTGACGAAGAGCTGCTTGCGGTATATATTATAATTTCTTGCACACTGACTAGGCTTTGCAAAGTCTCAACGTATGCCTCAAGACCCACCCATTTCTGGGTAGGAGAAGGAATAAGGGCTAAAAGGAAGAGGGGCAATGCAGGTACACAACACACATCCTCTTCCCAATATCCCAAGCATGCATCTACTTCTTAAAACCCATTTTTATGACTGGTGACACAGGCTGTTGTATCCACGATAACAGATTCCTTGACCTTCCGACACACATCAATTCCCAGTCCAATACTAATGCATTTATTTACTAATCTCGCATCTGTGCCCTAACATTTTTTTCTGAGCTCATGACGTACCGAGGAGCACTCTGTCCTGGCAACGCTTCATTCCAGTATCACCTCTTGACTTCCCTGTCATGAAAATATTTAATGGTTTTAATACATTCACATACAGAGATATTTAAAGTGCAAAATGGCTCAATAAACTAATAATGAAACTCTGAGGCAAGAGATACGACATGAAAGTGAGTAAAGTTTTTTCGCAAATAGAATTATATCTCAGTGGGATTAACTATCCGCTGAAGCTGCATCTGCTCAAGAAATATACAGTAATTTAAGAATCAAATGGGGTAAACATATTGTTCAAATATTTGGCTCGATAGCATAGAGGGGCAAACTGGTCTCAATAGATTTATGATGTTAGTTCAGGAACTACATCAGGGATATCAGGTGGCACCGGTCCTCCTCAGGGAATAATAATAACAGTGGTAGAGGTAGTGGTGATGGTTATGTGGTTCTAGAAGTTGTAACTAAATTATGTTTCCATCTTTCCCTTTAAATATCTATATATTTTTCTTCTATGACATAGAATGATGTTGAACTTTTTTTACAGCGAGGAAGTTGGCCAGAGGGAGAGGAAAGTTAGGAGAGAGCTTTATGCTATACTTCCAGACAGTATAGCAAAATTTGCTATACTATCTAGACAGAATTAGAAGTACATAGCATACAGCCTTTTTTTTTCCCCTCAGCCAAAACCCAGGCTATCCACTGTGAGGTCTTTCGTTATCTCCCCATCTCATTTACTGCCATGTACTTTCTACCTCCTTTTCCTTACCCCTCTGTTATTTGTTTAGGACCCAGTTCGTGGAGAGGGCCGGTCCTAGTTACTCCTACGGATATGAGTTTCCGGGTCAAGTGCACTACGAAGCCAAGGACGACCAACGGACTGTCAAGGACACCTTCAGCTATGTTGATGCCAACGGTAGGAGAGAGGTGCTACTCCAGGGTCACTCGTTATCTCATCGACTTTCTTTTATTTTCTTTCTTCCATCGTTATCATTGCTCCCTCATACTCCACATTTATCTTTTTCATATTTCCCCTCTTAGCCATCGATATTCACCCATTTACTCTTATTCAAGCATTTAATGGATGATATATTTGTAAGACGAAGCATGTTGCTGGTTTAGGGCAGTGAAGCAGTCTGTCTTCCAGTTCAAAAATAAATTTTGATCGGGTTTCTTTCTGAGACTTTTGGAGTAATAATAAATAGGCTGTGTTACACCAGATTTAGTATTCCCCTTAGGCCTATTATCTGCCTACATATGTGCAGTTCTCAGCTTTGTTCCAAGTAGGTTCGTTTATGCTAATGACTGGAGTTTACCTTGAGAGAGTTCCGGGGGGTCAACGCCCCCGCGGCCCGGTCTGTGACCAGGCCTCCTGGTGGATAAGAGCCTGATCAACCAGGCTGTTACTGCTGGCTGCACGCAATCCAACGTACGAGCCACAGCCCGGCTGGTCAGGTACCGACTTTAGGTGCTTGTCCAGTGCTAGCTTGAAGACAGCCAGGGGTCTATTGGTAATCCCCCTTATGTATGCTGGGAGGCAGTTGAACAGTCTCGGGCCCCTGACACTTGTTGTATTGTCTCTTAACGTGCTAGTGACACCCCTGCTTTTCATTGGGAGGATGTTGCATCGTCTGCCGAGCCTTTTGCTTTCGTTGTGAGTGATTTTCGTGTGCAAGTTCGGTACTATTCCCTCTAGGATTTTCCAGGTGCATATAATCGTGTATCTCTCCCGCCTGCGTTCCAGGGAGTACAGGTTCAGGAACTTCAAGCGCTCCCAGTAATTGAGGTGTTTTATCTTCGTGACTAGTGATTATATATATGTCGTGCCGAATAGGTAAAACTGGTCAATTAGGAAGACCTCATCTAAAATTAAGTCCTTTCTAAAATTTTCTCTTATACTTTCAAAGGTATATTTTTTTCATTTAGGTTAATCTAAAAATTAATAATTTTGTGCCAAAAGAATCAAAAGATCATCTCTTCTATGTGCGAGTTATTTGTGTATAATAAAGACTAACTTGAGGCATTACTCAACAGGGCTACCAGTATTATGGCAGTACTTAAGTTCTCCCAGTCAAGGCTTCAGCACTATCGTCGACACAGGAAATGTAAGTTACCAGGTGTTTGAGGAGGAAGGGGGGGGGGAGGTGGGAGGGCCAGGTCACATGTGAGGGCCAGGTCACATGTGAGAACCAGGTCACATGTGAGGACCAGGTCACATGTGAGGACCAGGTCACATGTGAGGGCCAGGTCACATGTGAGGACCAGGTCACATGTGAGGACCAGGTCACATGTGAGGGCCAGGTCACATGTGAGAACCAGGTCACATGTGAGGACCAGGTCACATGTGAGGACCAGGTCACATGTGAGGACCAGGTCACATAGAGACTTGGCTCAGATGCGGGTAAGGTCAGGCAGGGACGTGTTGGCTTGGTTAGAACAAGTCACAGATGAGCTGAAGAACACCTGAAATGTGGGTTAAATTACAAAATAAAACATAAATTTTCAGACTTATTAGTTAGTATGTATATCTTCCAAGAGTAATTTCCTCTTAATGGATAATTCTAATTGATTTTAATCTCATCTCAGAAATATACATATATGTCTATATGGCTGGAATACTGAGACCGATGGTCTCTCTCTCTCTCTCTCTCTCTCTCTCTCTCTCTCTCTCTCTCTCTCTCTCTCGAGTACCTGTCACCACAACAGTCACACATTATTGAGGCAGTCACCACAACACGGCGTTTTTGAGGCTGTCACTGCAACACAGCGTCTTTGAGGCTGTCACTGCAACACAGCGTCTTTGAGGCTGTCACTGGAACACGGCGTCTTTGAGGCTGTCACTGCAACACAGCGTCTTTGAGGCTGTCACTGGAACACGGCGTCTTTGAGGCTGTCACTGGAACACGGCGTCTTTGAGGCTGTCACTGGAACACGGCGTCTTTGAGGCTGTCACTGCAACACGGCGTCTTTGAGGCTGTCACTGGAACACAGCGTCTTTGAGGCTGTCACTGCAACACGGCGTCTTTGAGGCTGTCACTGGAACACGGCGTCTTTGAGGCTGTCACTGCAACACAGCGTCTTTGAGGCTGTCACTGCAACACAGCGTCTTTGAGGCTGTCACTGCAACACAGCGTCTTTGAGGCTGTCACTGCAACACAGCGTCTTTGAGGCTGTCACTGCAACACAGCGTCTTTGAGGCTGTCACTGCAACACAGTGTCTTTGAGGCTGTCACTGCAACACAGCGTCTTTGAGGCTGTCACTGCAACACAGCGTCTTTGAGGCTGTCACTGCAACACAGCGTCTTTGAGGCTGTCACTGCAACACAGCGTCTTTGAGGCTGTCACCGCAACACAGCGTCTTTGAGGCTGTCACTGCAACACAACATCGTGAACTCAAACCTAATCATTTTGCTTCATCTTATTTACTGTACTTTTATATATTTTTATTTATAAATTTAGTGAGAAATTATGATTTTTCTCTCATTAAAATGTAACGTTTCTGTCACTATGATGCTGCCAACCCCATCTAATAAATGACTGAAGGAGGACAATGAGAGATCAACATCGGTATTATAAAACCCCTTAATCAATTGATTTTGTATCTTCAGCTACGGTAAAATTTCCTGAACTACTGAAGCTTCGAGGAGAGAGAGACAGAGACAGAGATAGATAGCATATTATATTGTTGCATTTTGCACACTTTATTTCTTTCAAGAGTATGCAAAAATGTAGTTTACATGTACTAAAATAGTCATTTTTTTTTCTGGCCGACGGTGTTGCTAATTTTAACTGCATCTATTCGGTGCAGTGACTCTTGAATTATTTATTTGATTTCATTAGTACGGTCGCATTAGTTGCATTTTGTCTTGTACCAACCATATTATCGGTAATTCTACCAACATTATTTACAAAGTCAATGAGCTTTCTGTATAACATTTACGATGTCTAATTCTGTGCTCTGTGTACAGCCTGCTGCAGCAGTTCCAAGCAAGGTGGATGCCGTAGCCGGAGTGTACAGCCAGCAGGAGACGCCGGGAACGAGGCTTTCCGAGGTGCGAGTGCAGTCCCAGGGCGTGGAAGTTGAATCTTCGGAGCCCAGCTTGAAAGTCACTCTTTCGCCACTCCTGAAGCAGGCCGCCGTCGCCGGGGAGGTGCTACCAGCGGGCAGGTCACCTTCAGGAGCACCGCAGTTCGTGGTGTCGCCGAAGGTGGCTGCTGAGGCTGGTGGTGTGTCGGAGCTGGCCGTCCGTCTGGGGGCGGTGCCAGTGGCCGCCGTCCACGACGTCCAGATGAGACCAGATTTCGGTGACGCCCGAGCGGAGGACTTCGCACCTGTCCTGATTCACTCAGAGCAGCCCAAAGTCACCGTGTACGCGCTGGAGGTGCCCTACCAGTAGAGATGACCAGGCGTAACTACTCTCACATAGCACTTGTCAACTCATATCGCCTCGACAGCTGTGGAAAAGTGGCTCTTCAGGTCGAAGCCGAAGCGCAAAACTAAACTTCACTCAGTATCTCGTGAGGATGCTACATCTAGTTTACTCAGTATCTCGTGAGGATGCTACATCTACTTTACTATCTCCTGAGGATGCTACATCAATGTACACGCAGATTCATTCTAATTTTAGTGAAATTTCTCGTAAGAACGGATGCATGGTGAACTATTTCACCATTGCCTACCATACACCATCCACAACATCACTTACCACTCGCCTCTCTTATTATTACTATTATTGTATTTAGAGGGAAGCGCTAAGCCTGTAGGGCTCCTGTAGCGCAAGGAGATTGGAGAATAATCAGGCTTGATCTAACGAAGAGGATGGCAAGTTCGATTCCTTCGATCAAGAGCCCCTCCTCGGCATCGAGGAACATAGCCCTCAATGCCGATCACTGGTTGAAAGTACAATGTTGCTTCCCAGTTAATTTATGCATTAACTGACTAGAGCTTTTATGCTGCTGGCACTAGAATGCATCTTGCACTTCTCTCATGATAAACCTGTCGCTCTGCAAGAAGCACATGTCGCTCTGCAAGAAAGACTGTGTTGCTCTGCAAGAAACACATGTCACTCTGCAAGAAACACATGTCACTGCAAGAAACATGTCACTTTGCTGATGTAGTCTTCAGTCTTAGCTTTGGCCTCATGCCGCTATAACGTAGATAGATCGCTGGCTACATAGTTTTGTTTCCTCTACAGAAAAGCCTGATAGAGGTGGACCCGCTTACCTAATTCGTTATAAACGGCTGTTCTAAATAGAAGCTTTAAGCTTGCCAGATTCTCAGAGCTCTCACATCTCTCACCGTCGTCTTGGCCAGTGTGTAATCTTCTTGGCTGTTGTGTCATCTTCTTAGCCATCGTGTCATCTTGGCCCTCTTGTCATGGTTGTGGACACTGTGTCATCTTTGTGGCCATTGTGTCATCGTGGCCATTGTGTCATCTTCGTCCTGATCATCATCTCGTCATTATCCTGGTTATCATGTTATACTTGGAGTATACCTGGAGGATGTTTCGGGGGTCAGCGCCCCCGAGGCCCGGTCCATGACTGATCTAGTAAAGTCTGGGACTGAAATAATAGAAAACGGTTAACCCAGACTGGCCACAGAAAACAATCAACCCAGACTGATTGTAAAATATAACCCGTAGTGATCACAGAAAACGACTAGCGTAGACTGATTACAGAAAACGACTAACCCAGACTGATTACAGAAAACGATTATCAAGTACAGGAAGATTCACTTTGGGAACACAGACAAGATGGTAGATGTGAGGGAACACTGTTGCTGCTAACATAGTTTTGTTTTCAACAATGGTAAATATTTGTGTTTACATGTGTTTACACGTATGGTTGGTGTGTATCTATGTGTTGATAATACTGACCCGCCTCCTATCAGTAGGTTTTGCTCCTGGTAACACCTGTGTTTGGGCATTATATGATGTAAATCATCATTATCAGTTAGAAATAATGACTGTCACCCTGTGTAATTTAATGGTAAATAAAGACTTTGATTTGATTTTGATTTGATTTTGATTCTGATATTCAGGACTGTAGACACACCTTCCAACAAGTTCAGTAATTATACTCATTATTATTATAATAATTTATAGTTATTTATGAATATTATTATAATTTATAGTTTATTATTATTTATTAAAATTCAATGTATTTAATTTGTCAGATCATTTGCTCGTTTTTTTGTGAATATATCTTTTATTGTGATGTCCTGTCTAAGGGCAATGTGTGGTGTAAATATTATGCAGAAAATTCGGAGTGTAGAAATTAGGAGAAGGTGTGGAGTTAATAAAAGTATTAGAGGGCTGAAGAGGGGTTGTTGAGGTGGTTTGGTCATTTAGAGAGAATGAATCAAAGTAGAATGACATGGAGAGCATTTAAATCTGTAAGGGAAGGAAGGCGGGGTAGGGGTTGTCCTCGAAAAGGTTGGAAGGAAGGGGTAAGGGAGGTTTTGTGAGCAAGGGGCTTGGACTTCCAGCAGGCGTGCATGAGCGTGTTCGATAGGAGTGAATGGAGACGAATGGTATTTGGGACCTGACGATCTGTTGGAGTGTGAGCAGGGTAATATTTAGTGAAGGGATTTAGGGAAACCGGTTATTTTTATATAGCCGGACTTGAGTCCTGGAAATGGGAAGTACAATGTCTGCACCCTAAAGGAGGTGCTCGGGATAGCAGTTTGGAGGGATATGTTGTGTATCTTTATAGGTATATGCTTCTAAACTGTTATGTTCTGAGCACCTCTGCAAAAGCAATGATTATGTGTGAGTGAGGTGAAAGTGTTGAATGATGAAAGTATTTTCTTCTTGGGGATTTTCTTTCTTTTTGGGTCACCCTGCCTCGGTGGGAGACGACCGACTTGTTAAAAAAAAGTAATTTTATTGTGTTAATAGAATCATTGTTCTGGACCAGAAAGTTGGGTCATGATCAAGGAAGTTCAGTTCCTCCTAAAACCTCAGAAGCACACCTGTCTTCCTTAGGAAAGTTACCTTAATTTTTACTGGGGTGGGCCGGCAAGCCAGTGGAAGGCCTCGATCATATGACCATAAGCTCCAGCTGCGGGTCATCACATGACTAAGACTAGCGTCAACAAACACTTGTCCTGTTTCCTGACAAGCCTTACCTAACCTACCCTAACCTCATTGTTTACCCCGTCTTTTCTTCTCCTGCTTCTTCTTCTTCTTCTTCTTCTTTAGGAAGAAATGTAGAATGAAATGTAATGTAGGATGTGTGTAGTTACGTTGGTTCACTGATCTCTGTTGTTAAGATAAGATAAGATAAGATTTCGTTCGGATTTTTAACCCCGGAGGGTTAGCCACCCAGGATAACCCAAGAAAGTCAGTGCGTCATCGAGGACTGTCTAACTTATTTCCATTGGGGTCCTTAATCTTGTCCCCCAGGATGCGACCCACACCAGTCGACTAACACCCAGGTACCTATTTGCTGCTAGGTGAACAGGACAACAGGTGTAAGGAAACGTGTCGGAATGTTTCCACCCGCCGGGAATCGAACCCGGGCCCTCCGTGTGTGAAGCGGGAGCTTTAGCCACCAGGCCACCGGGGCACTTTACTTGCAGGAATTATTCTCGCAGTATAATGCTTGTCTCATTTCACACCCTGACAAATTAAGGCATAGTGTACAATTAATCTCTAAATAGTCATAGACTGGAAATATTTTTCACTGTATGACCTCTCCGGTGAATATCATAATAAAAAATGTGACTATGTCTCATTTATGTTCATTTCTCTCTCTTTTTTTTATTCCCAACCTGCTTTGTTTTTATGTGCTATCACCTAGTTAAGATTTCACGGGAGATCACTAGAGGAATGCTGATCTACATAAGTTATCACTCTGTGAATATTGATCAACACAAGTGATCATTGAAGGAATACTGATCGAGACAGAACAGTGAACTTAGAATAGTGGATCATCAAGTTTTATAATCTTAAGTGAGAGGAGAGTGAGTGTGGGGATAGAGTGCAGTAAAGTGTGAAGGTAAGGTTAGTGTATGGAGGGAGAGTGTGTAGGAAAGGAGGGAGGGTGTGAAGGGAAGGAGGGAGGGTGTGAAGGGAAGGAGGGAGGGTGTGCAGCGAAGGAGGGATGGTGGGAAGGGAAGGAAGGGGGGCGTGGAGGAAAAGAGGGAGGTAAATAAAAATCTGGTTCTCTGTTTATTTATCTTCTACACATCACAGTAACTGGACAGGCGGACGACGCCTCAACACCCAGACGGCACAAGCTGGCAGATGTCTTTAGAGAGAGATATCTGGTTCCCCACACGGCCGTCGTAGCCTTCTCCTGTGGGTCATCTCAGCTGTGTCCAAGCTACGAATTGGTAAACGAGGAAATGCCCTTTAAAGCTTATAGGTAACAACGTTGCTGAAGTCCCAACTCCAGCGCCGCCACACCGTTTCTGCTGACCCACCACTGATACGGAGTCTGTTGACAATTCTGCTAACAAACTTTCGTCTATTAACATTTCTGCTGACCCACCCCTTAATTAAACTACATCGGTTTCGCGTTTAGATACTTTGGCGAGTGTGATGGGTTCTCCTGGTGGGGGCGTGGGCGAGGCACCAGCGGCGTGGAGTGGGCATGAATAGTCTACACGGGTATGGCAACGGGCAGAACGGGGAAGTCATTAACGAGGGGTGGGCCTGCCAGGTGGTCCGTGAAGCCTGGCAGTGCCACCACCGGGAACACCGCCACGGGTGCCTCCTGCCGTGGCCGCGACTTGACCTCCGTCACTATCGCTAGGTTCTCAGGATCGGAGTAGGTGATGACGCCGTCACCAGAAGGTAGCGTCTCCTCCATGCCATAATAAAGCAGTGCACCGTAAGGATCCACTACCTCTCCAGCAATCAACTCCTTATCCGTCGGCACCACTTCACCAGGCGTCTCAATCCCTTGTTGGATCACCATCGGTGGCGTCTCTTGATGATGCAGGGGAGCAGCGCCCCCTGGGATGGCGTCCCCTCTGGCGCGGTAGCCCTGTTGTCCGGCGTCGTATGTGATGTCTACAACTTGACCCTCTGGTGTGCGGTAGAAGTATCGTCCCTTGACTGTTCCATCTGCGTCACGGGATTCAACTCTCCACTGGTTGTCTCCCTGCATGCCGAACCTGCAACCACAGTATCTCTTACTGACTGATTATCAACTCCATGACCTGCACTCACCTGGTGGAACTGAGGCAGTTGATGCCATTCATAAACACACACACATACACACACACACACACACACACACACTCAAGCACACACACATACTCCTGGCGGGGCCACGAGCTGTGACTCGACTTCTGCAACTACAAATAGGTGAGTACACACACACACACACACACACACACACACACACACACACACACACACACACACATACAGAGCTAAGAGGTATGTCCTACGAGGAGAGGTTAAGGGAAATCAACCTGACGACACTGGAGGACAGGAGAGATAGGGGGGACATGATAACGACATACAAAATACTGAGAGGAATTGACAAGGTGGACAAAGACAGGATGTTCCAGAGATGGGACACAACAACAAGGGGACACAGTTGGAAGTTGAAGACACAGATGAATCACAGGGATGTTAGGAAGTATTTCTTCAGCCACAGAGCAGTCAGCAAGTGGAATAGCTTGGGAAGCGATGTAGTGGAGGCAGGATCCATACATAGCTTTAAGCAGAGGTATGATAAAGCTCATGGTTCATGGAGAGTGACCTAGTAGCGACCAGTGAAGAGGCAGGGCCAGGAGCTTGGACTCGACCCCTACAACCTCAACTAGGTGAGTACAACTAGGCGAGTACACACACACACACACACATTACACTTAATACACAAGACACACGCACACACATATATATCCTATAAATGCGTCCAAATACATATAATAATCCTAACTCGTGAAGACACACACACGTACAGAAAGGTGAGTGTGTGTATGTTCACGTTCAGTTCGTGATGTGAACGTCAGATATATGACGTTCACATCACTAACTGAACATTGATATCTGACATTCACGTAACTAAATGAACGTTGATATCTTATGTTTACATCATGCCCTGAATGTTGATTTCTGAGGTTCACATCATTACAAACCCCACTGGAGTCTCTCACTGTGGGACATTATATGTATCATCTAGTAACAGGAGCATCGGGTGAGCCTCCTTACACAGTGTGGTCACGCTCGGGTGTGACTCCACACCTGACAGGTGGCCACAATCAGCGGACGGAGAATCGAGCCTCCACAAATCTTGCGCTGGTGAATGGAAATAAAGCCACAGGAAAATAAAGAGAAAGCTACAGAAAGGTTAGGTCAAAGTTTACCGACACTGTGTCTGACTCCAAAAAAAAAAAAGTGACTTCATGGATCTTCCAGACTCTTTAGGACTACCGTACTCTTCACTGTTCTGTTCTGTTGTAGATTCGCCGGTATAATTGCCCGGCCAGGGCCTTTTCCAAGAGGTGGCCCGGCCTTGGCTCCCTGTCGAGGGAGTGTATCAGACCAATTTTTGCCATGGGAGGAGGTACAAGTATCCCCTCATCTTTTGGGACTTGCTGTCCCCAGGCCAAGCCCATTCCCCGCCCCCAAGGGGTTCGGAGGGAGAAGCTAGGCACCTGGGCTGCCTGAAACCCCTACTCTTCACCGACTCCAAGGCTGAGGGACTAATTACCTCATCTTTTGTATATAGTTCTGCTGTCTCCTCCCCTCAAGGAAGGTTCCTTGATGTTGGTGAGGGGCTCTTGATTTAGGGAATTGGATCTGTGCTCCAGTTCCCCGAATTAAGCCTGAATGCCTTCCACATCCCCCCCCCCAGGCGCTGTATAATCCTCCGGGTTTAGCGCTTCCCCCTTGATTATAATAATAATAATAATCTGCTGTCTCCTCATTATGTCCTTGAATATGTACTGATAAAGCCACTGGATGGCGAAGCGTCTACAATAAAGATACCCAGATGTTGTACATGTGTCTAATTCTTCATCTTGTCGACGCTGTATACCATTGATGTGTATGTTGATGGTAAACACTTGTTACAAGACAGCTACTGACTGAGTGATGGTGAATGTGTTTCCTATCGTGTCTGAGCCTCCCTTGCTACTGTGTAGGTGGCCGGCGCTGCATCGTGTACAAGGCTCCTTAACATCGTGCCCATCATACAATTGATCACGTGTTGTGTGGTCTCTGTAACTAGTCCTCTGTGCTCTCGCACACACTCGCACACACTTGCACACACCCGCACACACTCGCACACACTCGTACACACTGGCACACACTCGCACATACTCGCACACACTCTCACACACCCGCACACACTCGCACACACTCGCACACACTCGCACACACTGGCAAACACTCGCACACACTCGCGCACACCTGCACACAGTCGCACACACTCGCACACACTCGCACACACCTGCACACACTCGCACGCACTCGCACACACCTGCACACACTCGCACACACTCGCACACACTCGCACACACTCGCACACACCTGCACACTCGCACACGCTCGCATACACTCGCACACACTCGCACACACTCGCACACACTTGCACACACCTGCACACACTCGCACACACTCGCACACACTCGCACACACTCGCACACACCTGCACACACTCGCACACACTCGCACACACTCGCACACACTCGCACACACCTGCACACACTCGCACACGCTCGCACATGCTCGCACACACCTGCACACACTCGCACACACTCGCACACACCTGCACACACTCGCACACACTTGCATACACTCGCACACACTCGCACACACTGCACACACTTGCACACACCTGCACACACTCGCACACACTCGCACACACTCGCACACACTCGCACAAACCTGCACACACCTGCACACACTCGCACACACTCTCACACACTCGCACACACTCGCACCACACTCGCGCACACCTGCACACACTCGCACACACTCGCACACACTCGCACACACCTGCACACACTCGCACACACTCGCACACGCCTGCACACACTCGCACACACATGCACACACTCGCACACACTCGCACACACTCGCACACACCCTGCATACACTCGCACACACATGCACACACTCGCACACACTTGCACACACCTGCACACACTCGCACACACTTGCCACACCTGCACACACTCGCACACACTCGCACACACTCGCACACACTCGCACACACCTGCACACACTCGCATACACTCGCACACACTCGCACACACACATGCACACACTCGCACACACTCGCACACACCTGCACACACTCGCACACACTCGCACACACTCGCACACACTCGCACACACTCGCACACACTCGCACACACTCGCACACACATGCACACACTCGCACACACTTGCACACACCTGCACACACTCGCACACACTCGCACACACTCGCACACACTCGCACACACCTGCACACACTCGCATACACTCGCACACACTCGCACACACTCGCACACACTCGCACACACCTGCACACACTCGCATACACTCGCACACACTCGCACACACATGCACACACTCGCACACACTCGCACACACTCGCACACACCTGCACACACTCGCATACACTCGCACACACTCGCACACACTCGCACACACTCGCCCACACTCGCACACACTCGCACACACATGCACACACTCGCACACACTTGCACACACCTGCACACACTCGCACACACTCGCACACACTCGCACACACTCGCACACACCTGCACACACTCGCATACACTCGCACACACTCGCACACACTCGCACACACTCGCACACACTCGCACACACTCGCACACACCTGCACACACTCGCATACACTCGCACACACTCGCACACACATGCACACACTCGCACACACTCGCACACACTCGCACACACCTGCACACACTCGCACACACTCGCGCACACCTGCACACACTCGCACACACTCGCACACACTCGCACACACCTGCACACACTCGCACACACTCGTACACACTCGCACACACCTGCACACACTCGCACACACTCGCACACACTCGCACACACTCGCACACGCCTGCACACACTCGCACACACCTGCACACACTCGCACACACTCGCACACACTCGCACACACCTGCACACACTCGCACACACTCGCACACACTCGCACACACATGCACACACTCGCACACACTCGCACACACTCGCACACTCGCACACACCTGCACACACTCGCACACACTCGCACACACTCGCACACACTCGCACACACTCGCACACACCTGCACACACTCGCACACACTCGCACACACATGCACACACTCGCACACACTCGCACACACTCGCACACACTCCCCACACACCTGCACACACTCGCACACACTCGCACACACATGCACACACTCGCACACACTCGCACACACTCGCACACACCTGCACACACTCGCACACACTCGCACTTATAGGAAACGGATAAACTTTGATTTTTCGAAATACTTTCACATTTTTTTGAAGATACTCTAGCATTTTTAGGAAATTCTTTTTTTCCACTAAAATTGGATGTTTTGGTAAAAAATACATTACTTTAGAATAAAAAGTATATTTCAACTCGTAACCCTAGACCTGGTAATACAGAACGATGCTTAATGATTCACAAGGGTTTAGCGCATCTTCTAAGGAGACTTCATACTTGTTAAACAATGACTGTATTAAATTTTGAGGTTATTCCTTGGGTAGCATTGAAAATAGGTTGGGCAAATATTTTTATTAAATGGGTTTTGGTTTAAGAAGAACCTGCCTAGTATGGACCAGTAGGCCTGCTGCAGTGTTCCTCCATTCTTACGTTAGTAGTCAACTCCAGAGGTGTTGCCTCCCTCATAACAAACTTCTGCCTCCCATGGTATTACTAACACACGTGGAAACAGAATTGGTGACATCGTTACTGGACCCCGTCTCTCACCCTCACCTGTAGCTGCCGTTACCAGCGTTCCATACGAACGTGTCGGACGAGGCGAACGGGAGATCGGATAGGAGGTCAGTGTGGTGACCCCCCGCTCGGTGTTCTGCCGGAAGGTCATCCTCGGGTCGAAGGTCATCCTCGCCAGCCACCCACAAGCCCCCCACCGCCGCCCAGGTCAACACGGCCGCCGCCTGCAGACAAAGCATCAGGTGTGAGCTGATGAACCCGAAGTCATATATATATATATATATATATATATATATATATATATATATATATATATATATATATATATATTATATATATATATATATATATATATATATGTACATAATATATATATTTTTTTTATTTTTTTTTTATTATCACACCGGCCGATTCCCACCAAGGCAGGGTGGCCCGAAAAAGAAAAACTTTCACCATCATTCACTCCATCACTGTCTTGCCAGAAGGGTGCCTTACACTACAGTTTTTAAACTGCAGCATTAACACCCCTCCTTCAGAGTGCAGGCACTGTACTTCCCATCTCCAGGACTCAAGTCCGGCCTGCCGGTTTCCCTGAATCCCTTCATAAATGTTACTTTGCTCACACTCCAACAGCACGTCAAGTATTAAAAACCATTTGTCTCCATTCACTCCTATCAAACACGCTCACGCATGCCTGCTGGAAGTCCAAGCCCCTCGCACACAAAACCTCCTTTACCCCCTCCCTCCAACCCTTCCTAGGCCGACCCCTACCCCGCCTTCCTTCCACTACAGACTGATACACTCTTGAAGTCATTCTGTTTCGCTCCATTCTCTCTACATATATATATATATATATATATATATATATATATATATATATATATATATATAAACAAAGTCTCTGGCTATACTCACACAAGAACACTTAATACCTGCACAATTTAAAGAATTATTTATTTAAAGTGTTAAATAAGTGTTGATAATTCAGCACAAGAGGTGCAGACTCTTCCATCCGTCTGCTAATCACAGTACTCAATTACATTAACCTTATTTTCTAATAGAAGGAATAAAGGATTAACTCATACAGTGTATGAGAGCTTCGAAAAACAGGGACAAAACTGACGAGAGGAAAACTATATTCATAGGTAAATATCATAAGTGGGATCCCACAAGGATCAGTACTTGTTCCAATGCTGTTTTAAATGTTATGAATGACTTCCCGGAAGAAAAATATATGTGAATTTATTCACAAATGATGAAAAACTCGCATGCGAAAGAGGAAATGAAGAAGATATGACCTACAAGAATGTAGACAGATGATTCAGAGAACCGACAAGTTGGTAAATTAGACACATGTGCAATACTTGGGTATCTTAAGTTAGCCATTTGTTCCACATGTATCTAATTTACCGCCTACAAGAATATTTAGTTAACATGAACAAGTGAAGAACAAGTGAATGACGTGAATAAATGGATACAATCGTTGCAAACTGTAAACTAAAAACGTGAAAATCGTAAAAATGAAAACTATAGAATGTTGGATAAAATCAATGCTATTGAAAAATTCGCGTGATATTCTGAGAGACTAAAATACCTGTGAGGTAAATGTTTGGTGAGGTGTTGCATTGGTTCCATTGTGTGTTAGACTAAAACTAGAATAACCAGCTGGAGTGTAAAGTTCTCACCGGAACTAGCAGTTAACTGTAAAACTTAGACACTCAGTAATAAATGCTCTCATGGAGCTGAAGAATAAACTGTATCTCTTTTCCACACACACACACACACACACACACACACACACACACACACACACACACACACACACACACACACACACACACACACACACACACACACACACACACACGCACACACTCATACGCGCACACGCGCGCTCGGATATTGGTCTGTCTATAGTGTACCTTCCTCTCATCTTCCATTCCTTCTTTTGCCTCTTACTAAGTCATCTCAATCTCCCATCTTTCACCTGAGCCTCAGCAGCATCCGCAGGGCACCACTCCCACCACTAACACATTCAACACACTCCCCAATAACCTCTTCAACTACCCACACCACAATCAACCACACCCTCTTCACCTCTCCCTTCCCTACCCTCTACCAACCCCTTCCCTACCCTCTACCAATCCCTTCCCTGCCTTCCACCAACCCCCTTCCAACACCTAACTAAACTCAACAGAACAAGTTCAGTTCCTTAAACCACACCTTTTCTTCTCGAGCACGGAACCCCAAGAAAAATGTATTATTTTATGCATTGTTTTGCCGTCTTCCACCTCAGTAAACACCCAGTATCACTTCTATTGGTATATAATACCAACTAGTTGACATAGAAGAGACATGTGCAACACTCGGGTAAATTTATTGCTGAGACTTTTCGCCTGTACAACAGGTTGCTTCAGCTGCATGAAAGAGAATGCAAGGCAGGAGAGAGTAGAAGTAGTTTTGACTTGAGTCTGTCTTCCATGACAGAAAGTAGTCAGTCCCACAAACCATTACCCAAACACACTAACTGATTCCCCCAATTAATTCCCCCCTTTTTCTAGTATCAGACTTCTCTCGAATCACTCAACTCCAAACCATCAGCCCCACAAACCCACACTACTGTCCGTCTAACCAACTATCCACACTTCTCCCGTCTTCTGCTCTATTTAGCCATCATATCACTCTCCTTACACGATGTTCCTCCTCGCCTTCAATAATTCCCCCACCCACCGAGGATAAGTAGACAGCACTCTCCCAAGGACCTCACCATTTCGCATGATAGATCATCAAGGAAGTCATCCAATGGGCTAGTAATTACACAGCACCAAGGGTACAGGGAGAGTCTGTGCTTCAACCACAGCACCAGGAGTACAGAGAGAGTCTGTGCTTCAACCACAGCACCAGGAGTACAAGGAGAGTCTGTGTTTCAAGCACAGAAACTCAGGGGCACTGTTGCATATAAGCTGATGCCTGAAGACCCAGACGGAAGGTCAGCACTGTGATATTAGACAGATTTTAGCTAAAAAATTAATTATGTCAACAATTGCTTCTTACTACTCTGAAAAGTTGAAATATGAAATAAAAATTAAGATTGTTATAGACTTTTCATATTAAGGAAGGATACAATAATAATTTTCCCGGTTAAATCATGTTGATGCATGGAGTGAGCCGGACGGTGAGGTGTTGATGCACGGAGTGAGCCGGACGGTGAGGTGTTGATGCACGGAGTGAGCCGGACGGTGAGGTGTTGATGCACGGAGTGAGCCGGACGGTGAGGTGTTGATGCACGGAGTGAGCCGGACGGTGAGGTGTTGATGCACGGAGTGAGCCGGACGGTGAGGTGTTGATGCACGGAGTGAGCCGGACGGTGAGGTGTTGATGCACGGAGTGAGCCGGACGGTGAGGTGTTGATGCACGGAGTGAGCCGGACGGTGAGGTGTTGATGCACGGAGTGAGCCGGACGGTGAGGTGTTGATGCACGGAGTGAGCCGGACGGTGAGGTGTTGATGCACGGAGTGAGCCGGACGGTGAGGTGTTGATGCGCGGAGTGAGCCGGATGGTGAGGTGTTGATGCACGGAGTGAGCCGGACGGTGAGGTGTTGATGCACGGAGTGAGCCGGACGGTGAGGTGTTGATGCACGGAGTGAGCCGGACGGTGAGGTGTTGATGCACGGAGTGAGCCGGATGGTGAGGTGTTGATGCACGGAGTGAGCCGGACGGTGAGGTGTTGATGCACGGAGTGAGCCGGACGGTGAGGTGTTGATGCACGGAGTGAGCCGGACGGTGAGGTGTTGATGCACGGAGTGAGCCGGACGGTGAGGTGTTGATGCACGGAGTGAGCCGGATGGTGAGGTGTTGATGCACGGAGTGAGCCGGACGGTGAGGTGTTGATGCACGGAGTGAGCCGGACGGTGAGGTGTTGATGCACGGAGTGAGCCGGACGGTGAGGTGTTGATGCACGGAGTGAGCCGGATGGTGAGGTGTTGATGCACGGAGTGAGCCGGATGGTGAGGTGTTGATGCACGGAGTGAGCCGGACGGTGAGGTGTTGATGCACGGAGTGAGCCGGATGGTGAGGTGTTGATGCACGGAGTGAGCCGGATGGTGAGGTGTTGATGCACGGAGTGAGCCGGATGGTGAGGTGTTGATGCACGGAGTGAGCCGGACGGTGAGGTGTTGATGCACGGAGTGAGCCGGATGGTGAGGTGTTGATGCACGGAGTGAGCCGGACGGTGAGGTGTTGATGCACGGAGTGAGCCGGACGAGGAGGTGTTGATGCACGGAGTGAGCCGGGCGAGGAGGTGTTGATGCACGGAGTGAGCCGGACGGTGAGGTGTTGATGCACGGAGTGAGCCGGACGGTGAGGTGTTGATGCACGGAGTGAGCCGGACGAGGAGGTGTTGATGCATGGAGTGAGCCGGACGGTGAGGTGTTGATGCACGGAGTGAGCCGGACGGTGAGGTGTTGATGCACGGAGTGAGCCGGACGAGGAGGTGTTGATGCATGGAGTGAGACGGACGGTGAGGTGTTGATGCACGGAGTGAGCCGGACGGTGAGGTGTTGATGCACGGAGTGAGCCGGACGAGGAGTGTTGATGCATGGAGTGACCCGGGAAATGGTGAAGGGCTGATACATGGAGCCGGACGGTGAGGTGTTGATGCACGGAGTGAGCTGGACGGTGAGGTGTTGATGCACGGAGTGAGCCGGACGGTGAGGTGTTGATGCGCGGAGTGAGCCGGACCGTGAGGTGTTGATGCACGGAGTGAGCCGGATGGTGAGTGGTTGATGCACGGAGTGAGCCGGATGGTGAGGTGTTGATGCACGGAGTGAGCCGGATGGTGAGGTGTTGATGCGCGGAGTGAGCCGGACGGTGAGGTGTTGATGCACGGAGTGAGCCGGACGAGGAGGTGTTGATGCATGGAGTGAGCCGGATGGTGAAGGGCTGATACATGGAGCCGGATGGTGAGGTGTTGATGCACGGAGTGAGCTGGACGGTGAGGTGTTGATGCACAGAGTGAGCCGGACGGTGAGGTGTTGATGCGCGGAGTGAGCCGGACCGTGAGGTGTTGATGCACGGAGTGAGCCGGATGGTGAGGTGTTGATGCACGGAGTGAGCCGGATGGTGAGGTGTTGATGCACGGAGTGAGCCGGATGGTGAGGTGTTGATGCGCGGAGTGAGCCGGACGGTGAGGTGTTGATGCACGGAGTGAGCCGGACGGTGAGGT